GGGAAAGAGGGAGAGGGACACAACACTTCCCATGGGGTGTAGTCATGCTGCGATCCCCTTTTCTCCATTTCTCCACCCTGTTGAGATTTGGGGCACATACGTACATGCACCTGATGTATTTTTTAAGCTGCCAGGGTGGAGTTTGATCCATGTTAGCCATGTGGAATTGAGCTTTCTTAACCATTAGTTTACAGACCAGCCCCCTAGCCGTTCTAAATCGAATACAAAGGAGACAGTCTCTCATGAAATTCTCGATGTTCAAATACTAAGGGTGAGTGGACCCCTGGCTCCCTTACCCCCTACACCAGCACAAACACATATATTCACATTCACTCATACCTGACCTTCACCAGGAGAACTGCAGCAGGGCTACTGACTCTCACCTAGGTCCCATGCTCTACTCTTGGGGTTTGCTCTGATACACTATATAAATAAAGTACTGGTGGGGGATCCTCAAACAAAAATCAGGCGTTGTTTTCAGAAGGAGAGAAAATGGGTGCCAAAGTTAAGCCCTATCTTGGAGCCATTTCCTTCCTAGTTGTTTGGCCATTAACAAGTTTCTTCATTTCCTCCCCTTTACGATTGGGCTGTCAGAAAAGTCATGACATTTTTTTTTCTGTACAAAAATGCATCATGACTTCTTCGACAACCTAATGTTATTTCCCCAAACTTACTGTAATATGTAGATTCATATCCTTGAACACATCATGGATTCATCTGTATCTCTTCCCCATCACGACTACCCTGCTACATCCTCATTTTGAGCTTGAGTTGTTATAATAGCCTTTAGAATAGTTTAGTTCCTTAGAGTGATTCCAGTGGATTCTGCCACCATTCTAGAAACATTTTTCCAAATGCAAATATGCTCTCTTTCTCTGTCCTTCCTCATCATGGGCTTCTCTACTACTCCATTGATAAGGGAATCTGACCCTATCCAACCTTCAGCTCTGAACACTAAGCCTCTGCATTTGTGCTAAACAGAACCAACTGCTGATCTGCAAACAGGAGGTGGGCCCCCGCCATGGCACCTTTGCTCATGTGGACCTGTTTGGCTGGAAAGGTCTTTCTCTGACTCTCCATGTCTTCACCAGAATAGATCCATCCGCCCTTAAATAGTCAAGAAATGATGACTATTTGAGCACCCTCTGTCATGTCAATTTTCCATAATTCCCTCAAAACTAGGATAGGTATCCATCCCATCCCAGGCTTCCTTGAGTAAGAATCGGGTTTGGTATTCATGTCTTCCTGCTTAATTCTGAGCTCATGAGGAAGCCTATCATGTCTCTAATATCTAGCACAGTGCCTAGCAGGTACTAGGCACTCAATAATTGGTTATTGAATGAGTAAGTAAAATATAAATAACTAGAAGTACGTAAAAGCATTTTCACTACTGAGCAAATACATCATAAAAGGCTCAGATAAAAGTGGTGACACTGACTGGAACCGGACAGACCAAGGGAGAAAGACAGCTGCTGATGGACAGTGGCTGGGAGTTTTTCCCCTGGCATTTTCCTGCCCCTCAGGTGTGTGCCTGTGTATGATTTCCCTGTCCCACCTTCCACCACTGCCTTCCTGAGTCCCATCCACTGACACAGGAGAAACCAAGGGAACCAGCTGCTGTTGGAGAGAGGCTGGGAATTCTTCCGCTGGTGTCTTCCTGCCCCCAGCTGCATAGTTCCAGGCTAGTCACAGGTGCATCTCATTCTGAGAGGCTGTTAGAGGAACTAAGCACCTGAACCTGGCTAGATACCCCCTCCTCTGACTGAAAGACACAGCCCTCTACCAAGAACACATCTAGGAAGAAGAGCTGTTCTTTGCCCCTGACACCACAGAACCTACTCATTAAACTAGGAAGACACATGTACTTCATCAGATGTCTAAAAATCAGTGCAGATGCACAGGAATTAGGAAAAAACAAGAGAATATGTCTCCCTCCAGGGAACACAATAACTCTTCGTCAACCACAGACAGCACAATAGAACTCACAGAAATGTCAGAAGAAGAATTAGTCATATTCATAGTGCCAAAACTAAAAATGAGATGCAAGAGAGAACAACCAACCAAACTCCAGGAGATGAGGAAGTCCTTCTACAATGTCAAGGAGGAACTCCATAAGGAGATAGTCCATAAAAATGAATCAAGCAGAACTTCTAGAGATGAAAACTATAATACAGGAAGTCAAAACCTCCCTCGAAAGTATTAAAAGCAGATTAGACCATGCATAAGAACGAATCTCTGATCTAGAATATAAAACTTCTGACAGACAAAATCACAAAAAAAGGAAAAAATAACAACAAAAAATGAGAAGAACATATGGGAAATAATATCATTAAATGTCCAACTATCCAAATAATTGGTATTCTAGAAGGTGAAGAATTTGATAAGAGCATTGAAAATTTATTCTATGAAACACTTGCAGGAAACCTTCCAAACCTAGAGAAGTACTCAGACATACAGACACAGGAAAGACAAATAACTCTAAATAGAATTAACATAAGAAGGTCCTTCCTCTGGCACATTATAGCCAAACTGGTAAAAATCAAAGATAAAAACAATATTCTAAAAATGGCAAGAAAGAAATGTCAAGTAACTTACAAAGGTTATCCCACTGGGCTAACATCAGATCTCTTAACTAAAGCAATGTAAGCAAAGAAAGAATGGGAAGATATATTCAAACCATCAGGGAAAAAAAAATCAACCAAGTAGATTATACCTGGTAAGGCTACCCTTCATATGAAAAGAACAAATAAAATCATTTTCAGATAAACAAAAACTGGAAAACTTCACCAACACTCAATCAGCTCTTCAAGGAGTACTGAAGGCAGTGTTTTTCAGGAAAACTAAAGAGAAAGAAAAACAGAAATAAGAGAACAAAAAGTGACCCAGGAAATGGCTAACTAAATTTGGCAAGGATAAGTTAGCAAAGGTCAACAATAATGTTGAAGGTTAATGGATTGAATTCTTCAATTAAAACACACAGAAGGGCTGAATAGACAAAAAAAAAAGGAGCCCTTTATATTCCGCTTGTAAGAAACACAGCTCACAGATAAAGACATATGCAGACTGAAAGTAAAAGAGTTGAAAAGGAAGAGTGAAATATAAGGGCCTTTTTTTCCATGAAAAAGTGGAACTTCAAGACTTCAAGATAAAATCTGTAAGAAGAAATAAAGAAGGATGCTGCATAGTACTAAAAGAGCTAGCTCACCAAGGAGATATAACTTATTAATATCTATGCATCCAACATTGGAGCACCCAAATACATTAAAGAGATCTTAAGGGAGGCACTGACTGCAAGACAATAATCATTGGGTATTTCACTATCCCACTCTCTCCTTCGGACAGATTATCTAGACAAAAAAAAAAAAAAAAAAGGCAAACAAATGTAAGATCTAAATGATACCCATAAATCAAACAGACTTGACAGACATCTATAAAGCATTTTTCCCAGGACCCACAAAATATGCATTTTTCTTACCCCCACATGGAAGATTTTCAAAGATCAACCACATGATAGGGTACAAAACAAGCCTTTACAAATTCAAAGGTATGGACATTCTATCAAGCATCTTCTCTGACTACTATGGGATTAAACTTGAAATTAACTGCAGAAAGAACCCTTTAAAAAAACCCCACAAACATATGGAAACAAAACAAACTACTCTTGAATTACTTCACCACTGCTGAAGAAATTCAGGCTGAAATCAAAAGATTAATTGAAACCAATGATAATGAACACTTGAGTTTTCAAAACCTATGGGACACAGCAGAAGTAGGTATAAGAGGGAAGGTATAGATATTAGAGCCCACAAGACAAAAATATAAATATGGTAAATAGACAACCTAACAACACATCTCAGGGGACTGGAAAAACAACAACAAAAAAAACCCCAAACATAGTAGGAGAAAATCAATAATAAAGATTTGAGCAGAAATGAATGAAATAGAGAATAAACGAACTATAAAGAAAAGAAATGAAACCAAAAGCCAGTTCTTTGATAATATAAACAAAATTGACACACCATTAGCTAGACTAACCAAGCACAGAGAAAGAAGCCAGATAAATTGAGTCAGTGATGGAAAAGAGAATATTATAACAGACACAACCAAAATACAAATGATCATAAGAAAATGATATAAGCACCAACAAAGGGGAAAACCTAGATGAGATGGACAGATGTCTGGACTCATATAATCTCCCCAGATTGAATGCGGAAGATATAGAGAGCCTGCATCGACCAATAATAAGCGACGAGGTTGAGTAGTAATACATAGTCTCCAGCACAGAAAAGCACAGGTTCCAATTGCTTCATTTCCAAATTCTACAAAACTTTTAAAGAGTTAACCCTAATTTCCCTCAAACTATTTCTATAGATCCAAAAGGAAGGAACCCTCCCAAATTCATTATATGAAGCTTTCATCATCCTGATCTCCAAAACAGACAAAGACATAGCAACAATAAATAAATAAATAAATGAAAGAAAGAAAGAAAGAAAGAAAAAAGATAATGACAGCTCAAGATCCCTGATGAATACAGATGCAAACATTCTCGACGAGATACTAGCAAGTCGTATCCAACAACACATTAAAGAGATTATACACCACGGCCAGGTAGGCTTTATTCTAGAGATGCAAGGGTGGTTCAACATATGCCAAAAAAATTTTTTTTGCATACATCACATTAACAGAAGAAATGGCAAAAACCATATGATCATATCAACCGATGCAGAAAAGGCATTTGATAAAATATAATATCCTTTCATGATTAAGACTGTCTGCAAAATCAGCATAGAAGGGGTATTTCTCAGCACAATAAAAGCCATCTATGACAAGTCCATAGCTAATGTCACACTGAATGGGAAAAGCTGAAATCTTTTCCATTAAAACCTGGAACACGACAAAGCTGCCCACTTTCTCCACTCCTTTCCATCACAGTACTGGAAATCCTAGTTGATGACATCAGACAAGAGAATCAAATTAAAGGCACTCAACTAGGAAAAGAAATGCAATGATCTCTATTCACAGGTGATATGATTATAT